AGGCTACACGAACTGAAATGAAGAATAATTTACAGGGAACCAACAGTAGAGTAGAGGACACTGAGAATCAAATCAGCAATTTGGAACATGAGGAAACAAAAAACACCCAACCAGAAGAGACGATAGTATAAGGAGCCTCTGGGACAACTTCAAGAGGCCCAGTATTCATATTATTGGGGTGCCAGAAAGAGAAGAAAGAAACCAAGAAATTAAAAACCTATTTGAAAAAATAATTACAGAAAACTTCCCCTACCTGGGGAAAGAAATAGACTTACAAGTCCAGGGAGCACAAAGGGTCCCAAACAAGGGGAACCCAAAGAGGCCCACAGCAGGACACATCATAATTAAAATGCCAAAGGTTAAAGACAAAGAGAGAATCTTAAAAGCAGCAAGAGAAAAGCAATTAGTTACCTACAAGGGAGCACCCATACGACTGTCAGCTGATTTCTCAACAGAAACTTTGCAGGCCAGAGGGAATGGCAAGAAATATTCAAAGTGATGAAAAACATGGAACTACAACCAAGATTGCTCTACCCAGCAAAGCTATCGTTTAGAACTGAAGGTCAGATAAAGAGCTTCACAGTTAAGAAAAAGCTAAAGGAGTTCATCACCACCAGACCAGCACTACAGGGAATGTTGAAGGGTCTTGTTTAAGAAGAAGCTAATGAACAAAACAATCTGACGAACTAAGTAGATCCAGAGATATTGACACAGGCAACAGACAATCATATTTCAGAGGAAAGAGGGACGAGGAATGGAGGGTGGGAAGAGATTAACCAAAGAAATTATATGCATATAAGCATAACCCATGGGCATAGTCAATAATGGGATGAAGGCCTGGAGAGGGGGTGGGAGCGAGGTGGAGGGGGTCAATTGGGCGGAAAAAATGGGACACTTGTAATACTTTCAACAATAAAGATAAATTTTTAAAAACTAAGTGTAAGAATGTGAGAAAATAAGAGTCCTCAGCATTGCTAGTGGGAATTTCAACTGGCACAGACATCTCAACAGCAATTAGATCTATTTAGCGCATATCCCATGACTCAGCAATCTTATTCCCCAGCATATACCCTGGAAAATCTCTCCAATGTGCATAAGAAAACACGCAAAGATGTTCACGGTAGCTCTGTTTGTGACAACAAAGATTTAGAAGCAATCTAATTGTCCATCAGTAGGAGAATGGATTAAATAAATTATATGTTCAACCAATGAAATACTATAAAAACATTCAAATGTCTGAGATAGAGCTCGTGTGCTAGGATGGCTAAGTCAACAAACCATGGTAGGATGAAAAGGTACCACCTTTCATCATGCTGTGTGCCCTGCCTTCCATTTCCACCCTCCTTCCCTTTAAATTCCACCCCTCTTCCAAGTGCTTGCTCAAGTGCTAATCCTTCCCAAAACTTCCCCTGCTGCTTGATCCTTCCCTCAGGGCCTTTGCTTCATCTCTCTCTTAGGACGCTCATTTCTACAGTAGAACAGCTAAGTGCCCTAGCATCAGCGCCTCACCAACATTCTTTTTTTAAGTCTTGGATCATTTCATAGGGGAAGAAAAATCTCGTTTTAATATGCATTTATTGATTGCTCTCGAGGTTAAAATTTTTCATGTGCTAATTCTTTATTTGTATTACTTCTATCTTTTTCATTGACAGCATCCTTGGCAGCTGTTTGAACATGATTCTAAGCACATATTGAAAAGAGAAAACCAATTTTGAACTAAACTGAATTAAAAGCTAGAAATTCAAAGTGAATCAACAAAAACACTCAGACCAAAAAAAAATTAACATAAATTGTGTACTAAAATACAAAGCATATTACTAATATTACAAACGTGCTTGCTAAGGCCTTTTCTTAATTAGGTAAGTAGAACATATAACTTTACTGCTTCCATGATGCTGGGTGTAGGGGACGTCCAACCCTTAAGGCTTAAGTAGGTTCTGGTAGCTTGAGGAACAAGCAGTGTTGGATGCAGACAGAAGGAAATCAGAAGCCANCTCTAACATAAATTGTGTACTAAAATACAAAGCATATTACTAATATTACAAACGTGCTTGCTAAGGCCTTTTCTTAATTAGGTAAGTAGAACATATAACTTTACTGCTTCCATGATGCTGGGTGTAGGGGACGTCCAACCCTTAAGGCTTAAGTAGGTTCTGGTAGCTTGAGGAACAAGCAGTGTTGGATGCAGACAGAAGGAAATCAGAAGCCAAGAAAGTATGTGCCAACAGCCAGTGTTTCCTACAGACTAACCTGAGACAGATACCCCTCCCAATAAACCTTGAATTCTGCAAATATATGACCCTATTCCCTAAGTTTAACGCATGTGTCTTTGGAAAGGTTCCTATTAACCTTATGACTTCTGGGATTTATAGCTAATAAGCAGAATCATAATTGAAATGATTACATAAATACAGAGTCACCTTTCCCCCAGAAAATGCAAGCTATTTTTCCTCAGCAGTTCACATGGCATTTAGAGGTCCCTGGGTTTTCTATTATTTCTTTGTAGGATTCTAGAGCTCCCAAGGATCATTTCCAGACAGCATAGTTTTTGCTAACAGCTTCCAGTAACTTATTCTGCCATTCAAATTCAGAGGTTGAAATTAGAAATTGAATATTCAATATAAAAAAGATCTTTAGCCAAAAGAACAGCTATAGAATCAGAATTAGCAAGATTATAACCAGTGATCATCACTGCAGCAGTTTCTTCTCTTCTCATTTCTGAGTAATTTATCACTCTATATGGCCTTTGAAATGTAACATCAGCCAATACAGGTTTTTAAAAAGGGCTTGGCCCCCGTAACACTGATCAGACAGAATCTCTTCCTTTGGGTATAGTTAGGACATCAGGGTAGAACTCCTTAGGAGATTAGCTCCAGAATACTGCTTACTTGGGATTTAACCTATACTGAACCCAACTGAATTGGTATCAGGTTTGATGGTTGTCGTGGGACACAAGAACAACCAGAAAGGACAAGTTTGTCATAATTCCATTAATTTATCTCCTTATGAGTATATATGATAAGAAGGTAAAAACATTATTCAGTTAAAAAACAAAACCAAGCAAAGTAACAACAGTTCATTGCCCCAAAATATTATGCTCCCTCCGAATATACTATCAGCTGATAAACTATATTTTCATAAATATAAATTTATATAAAATTTGACCTATATGTTATAAGGTATTCAATAAATGTTTCTGCTTTTTGTTCATTCGTTTTTTGTTTTGTTTTTGTTGTTAGTGTCATGTAAAATAAATAAGACTTTGTACTAAATCTGTAACTATTATGAGTAAATTCATTTCACAAAGTTAAAAAAAAAACCCACACAGCCCAAACCAGACTTTGGTTTATATTAAAAAGTTCCCTAGGGAACTGGGTTTTACATTTGAGCCCTGATTTAGCTAAAAGATTTATAAGGGCACATGTAGAAATACAGGTCCCTATTGGGTGATGAACCAGGGCTGAGACATAATTATGATTCTCTCTGCTCTCCATTCCATTGGAAACAGCTCCCAGGAGCCCAGAGGTGAGTTAGTCGTCAAAGAAGAACATAAATGTTCTATGTACTGTGACCACCTGGGTCACCTTCCCAGTCTCCAATGCCAATCTAATGGACATAAGAAGATTATACACAAATGTTTTCAAATATTAAATTAACAGGAATATCTGTTTCCCTTGGAGAGCTAGTGTCATTGATATGTTGTGTAGACGGGGAAGCCAAGTTTGCTTGGGCCTGTTTGCATGTTACACTCCAGGCTCTGCTCAGTTCGGCCTGTCATAAGTGCAGTGGCAGAGCTCATGAGCCCAAGTGAAAAATTATGTCTCCAAGTACCATGTGTAAAATGGTCCAGGAATGGAAAACTGAAGTTCTCCTTGTAAAAAAAATAAAATTGCTTAATAACTTGCTGGAATTTCTCAGGAGTGAGGTCATGCACTGGGAGACCTGATCTTGGCGGCCTATTCCCTTTGAAAATGTCCCCAAATCATCACCTTATGGAACAGAGTGGGGGAACCTATTCATCAGTTCACTGGGGAGAGTGGGGGGTCACACGGGTTTCTCACAGGCCTCATGGGGCTGCGGGGTTGTTGCAGGTGTTTTGGTGGCCATTGTTACTGTTGTCTTTAACCGTCACAGCAAAGGGCGGGCCCACCCACAAAACTCCTCCCAGCAACCTGCTAATCAACAGCTGGTCTCAAGAGCACACGCTTTAAATGTCTGTATTCAGTTATATAACAAAAACAGGAAGAGCACAGGAAGAAGCATTTATTCTGTCTCTTGAGGATAGCTCCCCTGCTCCCCCCTCCCCCCGCCAACCACATACCCTCACTTGTGCTAGCAGCTAAATGCAACAGGGTCCCAATCTTGCAAAACTTTGATAACCATACTTCTCATATGAAAACTATCATTTTATCAGTTCTCACTAAGAAAAATATACACATTTTGTACACATTTTTTGTACTCTCAGAGTGGGTAAAGGTGTAAAAATCAGAAATGTATAAATCTGAAAAAATATTAATAAGGTATTGTTCAGAGCACTCTCTGGAAGTCTGACAGTCAAGTAAGTTTCATATGGAGAAATAACTTTAAATGATTATTTTAACCCTAGTTAGTTCTGTTGAATAAAACACTGGCCATTATTACTTGTTTATTTTCTGAAGCAAAAGTACTTAACATATGTTTCTAATATTTCTGTTGGGGATTTCCTATGCTTTTGACAAAAGGATTTTACTGTTGTAGGTTTACCAGCTTGCCATGATTTTTTCCACAAGTTTTATTTTCACATCCAATGTGAGGTTTGTCTCCTTGTTTTAATCTTATGAACTATTTGTGGAAACTAATGTCATTTTTTAGATAACCCCCCAACATCAAGTTTTCTTGGCATTAGAATAAGTTTCACCTGCTAATTTGTGTAGGGATCTGCTCGTCAACCAACGGCTTATGGGCCTTGAGCTTAGGAACTAGCAGTGGATTCACAGATGTCCCTTGTGGTTCCAGGGATTAGGCAGTCTAACCCATGAACCACAAGCCACCCAGAATATGACACTTAAGCTGTCCTATAACTACTCTACAAATAACAAGTGAAGTTTTCCCATGCCAACTACTCCCTTGATTGCTACCATAATTTCCTGTGGTGACCAGCAATATTGAAGTGTGTCGATTTACTCAAGCCTTATTTTCAGTCCTGAAGAATTCCTTTCCTCATTTTGCGAATGTGATATTCAAAGGCCAAGAAGGGTAACCTTCATCCTCCATATTCACCAAACTAGATCCAAATGAAGAAACTGGTAGTGAACCTGAAAATAATACATGCATTGAAATATTTATTTTATGGAGGTACATGTATATTTAACAATTGACCTTTCAAAATTAATAGCAATGTGAAAAAGTAGTAAGAAATATCAGAACAAAAGCAGAAGCCAATGGAGGAAATAAATGTGCCCAACCATAAGGGCATTCATGACATTAGAAAGAGGAGCACATGAGGAGAAACAGGGAAACCAGATGCAAGCTCCACCAGCTGAGCAAGTGATGGGTGAAACTGAACGATACATCGTTAGTCAAGCAGAATGAATCCTCTGCTGCTAAATAAGAACCTATTACACCCAAGAGTTTGTAAACATCATTCAATGAGAAGGGCAAAGAAATAATAATAATAAAAGAGCATGCCTCATTGAATATGTCATCTAGAATATAATAACCTGCCCCCAAATCATAAACAATGGTAAGAATTATCTACATAGAATAGAAAGAGCAGTTCATTGAACCATTTAAAGAAAACCTATTGGCTTTGTCAAATATTCGTAATTATCTGCCCCTACCTGTTTGGAAATGAGAAATGATCACATTATAGTTGGCAAATGTTTCTAATATGAATGCCGTTCAATTACAATGAAAACTCATTGCATTACTGATAAGTATAAAATCTCAAAGATAATCACACACTTAAGACCCACCTGATGTGCCCAGGTGTCCTCATGAGGCCGTTCTCTCCCATTTCTCCAACCATTTTCATCCATTCCTGCTTTGGCTTCCAAATTGACAGCCCAAGGAATAAAGAGATGCATTTCAGTTCATTTCATTGGGGGTCGTTCGAGTACTGAGTGCTAAGTACCATGCTAGACCCTGACAGCCCAAGATGCAGAAGGCAGGATTTCTGTCCTTCAGGAGCTCCTAATCAAAGACGGTCTTTAAAGGAGTGATTAAATAAATGAAGATGTTAGGGTGGGGCCCTAATCCAATAAGAATGGTGTTATACGAAAAAGAAAATTAGAGTGCTTGTGCACAGAGGGACAACCATTTGAAAAGGAGCAAAAGGGTAGCCACCTGCAACTTAAGAAGAGAGGACTCAAGAAACCAACCCTGACACCACCTTAATCTTGGACTTCCAGCCTCCAGAACTGTGAGGAAATAAATTTCTGTTGTTTAAGCCAACCAGTCCGTGGTATTTTGTTATGGCATCCCAAGCAGACTAATACAGCATCCTTCCCTATATGAAGGTTGCTTGATGAATGCAGTGGACAGTGAAGGTAGATGCTCCTTGAAAAGGAGCTCATGCAGGAGTTCCCCATCCCTGTGTGTGTTCAAGTAGAAGTTGGATGAATCCTTGTCAGAAACATCACACTGGGTGTGAGAATAGACCAGCTGACCTCAAACATCTTTTCCAACACTTAGGCTCTATCACTTTTCTCTACAAACTTCAGTTTCTCCATGGAAGGGAATTATCATTTCCATTATTAAATAATTGAGGTCTCCTATCTCGAAATTAAGACTAAAACAAAAGCACATTTAAAAACTTTCACTTTCAGAAAGGAAGAAAATGGGAGCTATCTGTAATACTGTCAATAACAAAATAAAATTTAAAATAAATAAATACTTTCACTTGATTGCCTCTGGCCCCTCCTTCATTTGGCTCCTTAATTTCTCAAACACATGGTCTCTTACCACTGCCATCATTTTTTCCCCACCTTTTGGAGGTCAGTATTTGAAATGGAACTTGAAGCACCAATAAGATCTTACCAAATGGGAGAAAAAGATCGGAGGTTTGTCTTACCAGGTGAGAATAAAGAAGATGACGTTCTCTTGTCTCTGCTACCATGGTCACAAAGACGTAAGGTGATCTTTGAACAGCTCCAGTTACCACAAGAAAACAGTATCCTAGAATCTTCCACCAAGCTCAGGAGTCAGCAGATCTGTGTCTGCTCTTGCTGGTTGTAAAAAGTGAACGCAGCTTAAGGAATTGTGATCCACATTAAGTTATTAGCCAGTCTAACCAATTCTGTTGAGAAAAAAATAGCAAGAATAATGGCTATTGCTAATAGTACAACATTTTCATTTTGGTCAATAAATTCTATTTACAAAGCTATTGTTGAGAGAACCCATTGAATGGGGGGGGTGGGGGGCAAGCTGGGGCAAGGATCCTTTTTTCTGCCAAGGGCCATTTGGATATTTATAACATCATTCTAGGGCCATACAAAATTATCAACTTAAAAATTAGCTATGAAAGAAAGCTCCTAGATTTATTGAATTTCAAGTCCCACCTGCAGTTGCCTTGGCAGGGCCAGACCAAGTGAATTTGCAGGCCATATATGGCCCATGGGCTGGACATTCCCTACCCCTGCATTAAATGATAAGGGTGTCCCTGCTATCCTGTTCCCTTCTTGGGTAAAAGTGCTAGTGAAAAGTGCACTCCCCAAAGTGTGAACAGCACTTTGATTGAAAAGTTAACACATGTACTTCATGCCACTGAACTGTACACTTCAAAATGGTAAAAATATTAAAATTCGTGTTACCTATGTTTTAGCACAATTTTTAGCAAGTAACACAACGTTTTAATCACATAATAAAGTAACACCTCTCAGCATATTAGCTTTCTAAGAAAGTAAGAAGGAAACCGATTTATAGAACCATGTTGGTCAGCATGGTGGGGTGCGGCTAGGAATGGAGAGCTGAGAATTATCTCATGTACACAAAGAGTTAAACTGTGTTCATGCTGCGAATAACACTCAGTATGAACTTCTCTGCAAAACACGAGTCACACTGCCCGAGTGGATTTTACAAGGTTATACTCTTATGCTATTGGAATCATTTCCCTACAAGCATTATCTGTCTACTGTTTTTGATGGAGAAGGTCAAGGCCCAGGGTGGAGGCCAGACTCCAGATGTTGTGGCTCACGCTCTCAGTACCAAATTCACTCTCTGCACTTGGACTGTCTCTCAACTATGGCATGTGACTGGAAAAGAGAATGGCTCCATACCAGGAAATCCTTCTGTGTTTGCCTTACGTGTATGGTTTTATATTCAGTTCTCACTGCAGAATAATAAACTACATCGATTATATACTTGCTGTATGCAAAACATACCACTTAGTCTTGGGGCTGTGGTGGTATAAAAAATATGTACTCCTGCCATCACCAGCCTTAGAATCTGGATGGGTTGACAAAACATGTTTCTAATTAGTAATGGTTACCCTGAGGAGATTACCAGTGAAGATTAATTACAAGGGTTTTTCTTGGAGTGCCAGGACTGTTTCCCTCAGTTAATATTTCAACTACTTGTCATCTATTTTGTAATACAATTTTTTACTTAAAATTCAAATTCCAACAACAGTAACAACATTTTAAAAATAATTAGATCTCTTTCCAATTTAGTGAGTCTGATTTTCGTTTCAATGTGTGTAAAGTATAAGTCAGGTTTGTTTTCCCTTCCCTGCAGTGATGGTGTGGGGTTCATGCCTGCCCCAGACCTTCACGGCCGAGTGGCATTCTAACTCTCCCAGGGGTTGGGGGCTTTATTTTCAACCTGGGCAAGTCGCTTAGCACTTCATTACATCCACGTGAGGATTCCCAGAGGAAGCCTCCATGAGTAAAGTTGGCTGACATGATGCACTAAAGACTACTTGGTGGAAAAAAATTATAAATAGTTATATATTTACTCCATACTTCTTTTTAAAAAAAAAAAAAAAATCTTTATTGATTTCAGAGAGAGGAAAGGAGAGGGAGAGAGAGAAATAGAAACATCAATGATGAGAGAGTCATTGATCGGCCGCCCTCTGCAAGCCCCCTACTGGGGATCGAGCCCGCAACTTGGGCATGTGCCCTGAACAGGAATCAAACCCCGATCGCCTGGATCCTAGGGTGACACTCAACCGCTGAGCCACGCTCGGCCGTGTCTAAGTGTCATATTCCTTTAATCCACACTAGGCACATTAGTATCCCATTTGAGTGATGAAGAAACTGAGGCAGGGAGAGGTTAGGTAACTTGTCCAGTACCTCACAGCTAGAAAGCGGTGAAATCATATTTGAACCCAGTCTAGTTTTTACCATCAGCCTGCCCTAGATATCAGGCTAGGGGACGCTGATATCTCTCAGTACCAAATATATATTTCAAATTAAACCACAGAATTTGTTTTCTTGGGTTGCAACTATGCTGAGGAAGAGAATCTAAGAAAACATCTGTAATCCTCATTTCCCTGTCTGTGACAAAAGATTCTGACTCCCCTCCCCAGGGGAGTCTAGGCATGTTCTTCCTCTTTCTGGCATTCCTTCTTCTGTGGATAACAAGAGCATCCAAATGGCTTAGAGGGTTCCTTTATCTTCCTTCCCTCAATCTACTGTCTTTATCTAATTTCCTGGCAATTTACATTTCATTGAACAAATTTCCATAGCTGGATCACCTCAAAATGTCAAAAAAGAATCTAATCCATGAAGACCAGTAATGCATGTTATACAAAATATATCATAAATATGTATTCTTAGCTATAGCCCCAACAACTTCAGTTTGCTCAAGGATCTTATTTTGTTAAAAGAAATTAATTCAGGAAGTCATTTTCTTTCTTAAAAAGAGTTTAGCTCTTCCAGGTTATATGCTTGTAAGCACTCTCTCTACATAATGTAAACACATTTTAAAAGCATATTTCCTTTGCTATGTTCTTTCAGTAATGTTTTTATTTCCTATAGGTGTTCCTGCAGAAGTTCATTGAAACTGCCAACAGAAGTTCATTGAAGCTGCCAATTAGAAATGTAGAGGAACTTTTGTAGGACTCCTCAGCTGGCCTCTCAGTTCCAGGGAACAGCTTTATATTTCTCTAGCCCTCCCAACAGTAGTCTATTTTTATTTTTTCGTGTTAGTCGACAATGCCAGTTACAAATGCAATGGATTCAGGTCATAACTTAGCTTGCTGTCATATAGACTCTTCTCTGATACCAATCAAAGCATAACCATAGACAAAGATTCAAGTAATATTTTCCAGTTGTCAATTTTTTCACTAACCCCAGCTTCACAGCATATCAACCTATAAACCTTACTAGTATTTACTCATCACTTGACAATTATTGATCAGCAATAGTAGCTTAAATTCAATACAAAGCATGGAATTAGATAGGAAATGTGTACATGAATTTAGTAGGTATTCCTATTTCTCCCTAACATCCACTTCTCCACTTCCAGCCACAGGGCAGAACTGCATATCCCACCCCTCTCAAGTGAGGGGTGGCCTTCTTACTGATTTTGGCCAATGGGATGTAAGTGAAAGTGACACATATCACTTCCCAATGGAAGTGTTTAACTTTTAGAATGGGTTCACCTGCCCTCTGTTTGCCTGTTAAGTGATTATGGGAGCACCTTCTGATATGGCAGTGCCATAAAATAAAGCAGCTGGGAATCCTGAGCTGGGAAAATAGCTGCCCTGGAACCCCCTGACCAACAGCAAACATTGCATTAGTGGGAGATGAACTTCTATCCTTTGGTCATGCTTGTTACAGAAGTATAACTTAACCCATCCTGATACAGTACTGTATCCATGATTTGCATATGTGTAATTCCTGAGTAAACTAGCTGTTCTGTCAATGGCCAGACATCATCTTAACCCTACCATCTTAAAAATGAATACTAATGTGTACAAGATCTGGAAAAGATGGTTTGCATAAATCAGTATACATGGTTTTTACTTCTGTAAAAGTAAGTGATGGCACACATCCTAATGATCAATATTCAATAGGGCCATCCTTGCACATAAAGGACAGCCCATTGTATCTTATAAACCTAAAACCTATTTTAGCTAAACTAATCTTGTAAGTAGACTACAGGTGCATATAGGTAGGCACAATATGTTAAACCATTTCCAGTTATCTCATGCCAGTGTGAAGATCCTTATGAGGGGTCTTGTGGGCACAGACTATGTAAAAAGGGGCACCACTCATATGAGTGTGTCAGATGTATTCTGACACTGTCCTCTCCCAAACCACATAAACTCATGGAGCAATTACCCTCAACTCTGACTCAACCTTCCCCCACCTTCCCTGTCAATCACCCTCATGGTAGGCAGAATTGAGCCTTCCAAGTTTGTTCTCCAAGAACCAGAAAGTTCTGTTTCTCAAAGTACATTCTTCTCTACACAAAGGGATACTTGAAATACATGAATGGGAAAAATGGCTCAGAAAAATGGCTCAGCTAACCCTTCTCAAATTCTAACCACACCATTTTTGAGGTTAACGGAAAAGCTCAATTGGATTATTATTTTTTTTCATTGCAAATCTAAAATTCTTCTTTTCAACCAAATTGATATGGGAGATATCATATTGAGAAATACGAGAAAACCATTTCTGAGTTGTGGCCAATCTATCCAAGGGATAGAAGATATTATGATCAAACTTCTTTGCTGAGAGAAATCTGGACAGTGAGGTACTTAACCAGACCCATCTTAATCATGATACACATAACCCGGAGCCTACAAAAGCAGTGCCACTTATGAACTGGCAAGAAACTAAAGGAGACATCAATACAGGGAAATCCAGTCATGAAACTGAATATGATTCAAATACTACATTCAAAGGTAACTTACCATGACATAGATGTCCATTTGCTGACTTATAGAAAGTTGTTACAGATGTGAACGTATCATTTGATTGTGTTTATATAAAGCTTTGTGACTTAATTTTTCTCATAAGTTAGCAGAACATAATTATTTTTCACATTTTTTTGTAGATCTGGGCAGTGAAATTAAAGAGATTTCCACTTTTCTCTTTATAATTTGTGTTGCCAGAAATTTTTACATGTATTACTTCTATAAACAACAAAGAAGCATTTGGGGGTAAAACAATTCATGAATGAAAATGAAAGTTTCATATTAACTTGATTTAATTTTCAGTCCATTTCCTTTCATCTTCTATCTAAGTGCCTGCCGTTGATTTGGGAAATGCAACTGTGCAGGATACAGCATTTATCTGGTGGTTAATAAGAATTTCCCATGTACCTATTATATTGTAGGGTTATTAAAACACTGAATATTCTTCTCTAAAAGTAAATGTATAAGGTGGACAGAATGCAATCCCCCTTTGTTAATTTAAGTTGGTCTTTTGTGAAGGCAAGGAAAAGAAATCTCTCAAGATCTTTTACAGGTTTTTTTGATTGTCTGGTTTCTAATAAGGCTTCTGAATGTAAAAGACTATATTCTATCACAATTCAAAAAGTACCTAAGGTTCGCAGGCACGGCCTGCAAATGGATCACTGGCCTTGGCCTTGGCCTTGTTATTCATGTCCCCAGCAACAAATAGTTCTCTCTGTGAGGATCTTCATAGTCTTCACAGCCCTTTACCCAAGTGTAATAGGCAAATATGTGCCTCAGAAATATGTGCCATCTTCACCTTTCAGTTAAATGCAGAGAATTAGAAATCCTGCTTTTACCGACAAATACTAAACCATAGACCCCTTAAACATGGGGACCTTTGATTACCCTCACCGTACATAGTAGAGGTCCAGTAATCTTTGGATTGGATGGATAGAATTAAACCCTAAGAAATGGGAGGAATTTATTCCTTAAGGCATTAGGCTGCTAATGACATCATCTATAGTTAAAAAGAAGAGCAGGGCAGAATATTTTTCCTGCCTGTGGTGGCCTGGTAATATTCCATGGAACATCCCAGTGATTACCTGCCCAAGTCTTTCAGGTACCATGAGAATATCCTAGGGAATAATACACCCCTCCACACACACACACACACACACACACACACACACACACGCACACACACACACTCCAAAATGAAGGAAATTTGGTGTGAAAACTAGCAAGGTACAAGCAAGCAAGATTAACACTTCTTTCCTCCCCCCACCCCAAGCCTAACTCCTCTGAATGGAACTATAACTAGCATAGCAAGTAAAAGGTTTCAACTTGATGATACCAAACAGAAGGGAGTTAAAGACGCATTTTCAGTATTTATTCTGGGGAAGAAACTGATAATAGGAAAACATCAGACAATCTTGCTCATTTTGAAGCTTGAATCCAGACAAACTTGGACATGGGAAAGGGTTTCTGAACTAGTACGAATAATAATAAATTAACTGTACCCATAAAAGCACTCTTTTCTTCCTGTTTTCTTCCAAAGCAGAAGTTCTTATGAATTCGTTTAATTAATTAAGGGAAAACAGCAAAGCTCTGGACAACATGGTCAAGATGATCACTAGAAATTTCACAGACTGGACATTACCAGAAGTCCAATTTAACATGTGGAAATGTTATTTCTATGTAATATTTCACTCCCCATTGTACCACTGGAGATGTACAAACTATTAAGAAATATAAGCTTACTAATGAAATTTTGTTAACAGTTAGTGCTAATAAATTCAATCAGAGTGTTGAGTCTGAGTATGCTGGATACTAGTTTGAAATGACAGGTTACACCATGAGGCCTAAATCAACCAAAAACAAATGCTTTTTCTAATTTACACTTTTATTTGTTGTTATGAATATCGGTAACTTACTGAAGCTGAGTATGTCACAAAAGGATGAATCACATTAATAAATATGATAAATTTCTTAGTTTGGGCAGCATAAAACTCTACCATTATTGAGAAACACACAAACACAGAGTATGGAACGGTGTCCCTAAAAGTCTGTTCAGTAAGAATGACAAAGGGCTTTTTATTCTGGGATTTGTCTCTGGAAAGATCATACATGTGTGCAGGAACTCAGTTCCATCTGTTGCTTTAGAGCCAGAGGCTTTATTGTATTGACTTTGTGCTCTTATCTGATGGCAATAAATTCCCACCAGAGTGAGACACCAGCTTAGCCAGTGACCCCTGCTGTTCAGATCAGACAATGGAGCAGGTCTTTCTTCCTAGAGACACTCTGTGGCTTCTGGACCGCCCTCTATGAATGGCTTTGGGATTTTGCTGTTTCCATTCAGGATTGTCTAATGTGAGCAATTAGCAGATGCTTCATTTCAAGAGTCTCATCAGCAGTTGCAACACATCAGTGAGCAATAAATTACTGGAACTGAATAGACAGGGAAATTGGGAAGAAAGGGGCAAGGGAGGGGGAAAAAAGTATCCTGTGGAGGTCCTTGCATATAAGAGGTGCTTCATAAATATTATTTTAGAGTGCAAAATATACTACGTATGCACAAGTGGCAAGAATTTCAAAATTTTGAATCCCAAAGACCAAGGAATTACTTTAACTAGTCCTGCAAATTTAAGGCCCTATGTTGTAAACAAAAGGTGGCTGGGGAGGGTTATGTGCACTAAACAAATGGAATTTCCTTCCCTGGGGTCGTACCACTGAACTGCCCACCCTCAGGTGTTTTTGTTTGGTTGAGTTTTTGTTGCTGTTTTTCTTTTGGAAGCAGAAGCAGCTAGGGATGTAAGCAGGGCACGCCATGCCCTAGCTCCATTCTTTCTCCTAAAATGTCCAAGGTCAATAGACATCTTCCAAAGAACAATAAAAGAAAGGGACCTGGGTCTCTCCCAAGGCACCCACCAGACAGCCTCCATGATGTGCCTCTCGCTGTTTCTGAGAGAAGGACAGTGCTATAAAACAGCTTTCTCAGTCCGTCCCAAGTCAGCTGTTGACTAAAACTCTTGTAGATGGAGAAGAGTAAAAAAATGATATGTTGCAGTAGGTTATCATTGTAGGTGTCATGTTTTTAGCCATTCTACTGAACTCCAGAAGTACCCATCCATTCATTGACTTCAGGCCTTTCTCATGGAGCAAGTTCTGTACTTGGTACAAAGAGGTCTGGGGAGCTTGAAGGCTTCGCACTGGCTTTGGACCCACCAACCTGGGAGCACACAGCCCCGCGCAGTTACAGTTCCGACCGCCGGGGGCCCAGCGACGGCTCCCGCTTCGGCCCCAGGGAAGCACCATCCGCGCCACCCCCGGAGCTTCCTCGGCGGCTCGGCCGTCCCGATGGGCAGGTGGCGCTGAGCCCCCCGTCGGCCTCCGCGGGCACTGGGGGAGCGGGCACGGGGCCCGGCCCCCCTCGGCTCAGGGCCCCGCGGAGTCAGAGCCTCC